TTTTACGTCTAACACGTGCCAAGATGTATAGACGTGATTGCAGCAGAGATTATTGGATTATGCATAGGAGACGTGACAGTTTGGCTTAATGGTCTAAAAATTGTGAACTCTGATCTACATCTCTGTGCAAAAATTGTGAACTCTGATCTGCACAGGCCTGAGCTGTAATCTAGGCTGATACTTTGTGGTGCTTGGAATACTGCAGTATCAAGAGCTGCTATCTTTCTGATGGATGGAAAATATGCTATTGCATTTTTTTTGACTAGATTCATTCACAATTCTCTTTGCTTTTTGTGGGATCCAGCAGCTGTGTGTGACTGTAGCAGTCTACTTTGAAAATATGAGACAGTTGAAGAAGTGGTTCCCCAATTTTTTAAGGCCAAAGGATTATATAAGATTTATGATCAATTAAAAAATCCTAGTGCTGAACAGAGGACTATTCTTCATAGGAACCTGTTTAATCTGAAAAAAAGTTTACCAAGATACAGCTGTAAATTCAAGTGGAACCCAGGACTTTCTTTTCTCTATATTAATTCATGGGATGTGGGCATTGCATTTATTGCACGTTCCTATTGTCCCGTAGTTAAGAGTCACCCACATGGCTGTAGGCCTGGAATCACAGGTAGGCCAGACCAGGTAAGGATGGCAGATTTCCTTCCCAAAAGAACATTGGTGAACCAGGTTAATTTTTTTGCGACAATTGACAGTGATTATATGTCTCCATTAGACTTTTCAATTGTTTATTGCATTCAAATTTCACCATTTGCCATGATGGGATTTGAACCCATGTTCTCAGAACATTAGCCTGGGGTTTTGGATTATTCATCCACTTTCATCACCACTTTGCCACCACCTCCACAATTGTGTGGAATTACTTGCCTGTCATGGAATTCCTAATCACTTTTATGGTGACAGTTAAATCTTTTGATATTAATCTGCTGCACAGTGTTTATTATATGAAAAGTCATCTTGGATCATTCTCTTATGGTGCATATGAGAAGTGAAATACTGGCTTTGACAGTGACTACAGGCCCTTTATCATTGTATAATTAGAAGCTGACAACTATAGACCCACTAATTTGATAATAAGATGCTCAAGTAATCATTAGGGATGCACTACGTGACCACCCGGAGAGGGTCATATCTGGAATTCTCAGCATGGCTTTCATAAAAGAAAGGTTGCAATTGCAAAAGATTGCCATCACAATTCAAATTCCTTAAAGTCACCAAGGTAGATGGAAGAGGGCAACCTGTAGTCATTGTTCGTCTGGGCCTTTGTAGAAAGCTTTTGGTCAGACATAGAGGACTTCACTAAAGGTGGAATTAGTGATAATGTGTTGCAGTGAATTGAGCATTAGTTATAGATAAGGACTGATTTCTCATTCAGTGGATCAGATCAAGGCTTTGCAGCCCTGCCATATCCTGTTGTGAAACGTTGTAAGCCATGAAGATGCTAAGAAGGAGAATGAAGAGCCCTTAGAAACATCGCAGTATTCAACTGGTGAATTAAAAAAACAAAATCAGTGCTCAGTTCTATCTGTACTTCTAGACCTGCCATCTATAAATTCGCTGTCACCACCACCATAGTGGGAAGGATATAGTGGGGCAGCACGGTGGCTCAGTGGTTAGCACTGCTGCCTCACAGCGCCAGGGACCAGGCTTGATTCCACCCTTGGGTGACTGTCTGTGTGGAGTTTGCACATTCTGCCTGTGTCTGCGTGGGTTTCCTCCAAGTGCTCCGGTTTCCTCCCACAGTCCAAAGATGTGCAGGCTAGGTTGATTGGCCATGCTAAATTGCCCGTAGTGTTCAGGGATGAGTAGATTAGGTGGGTTATAGGGGGATGGAGTCTGGGTGGGATGCTCCGAGGTTCGGTGTGGACTTGTTGGGTCGAAGGGCCTATTTCCACACTGTAGGGATTCTATGATGATCTAGGATATCTAACAACGACGGGTCAAATATAGAAGGGAGATATAGGGTTTGGAGACATAGTGCAATGAAAACAATCCGTCTCTCAATGTCGGCAAAACTAAAGAACTGATCATTGACTTCAGAAAGAAAGGAGGAGAATATGCCCCCATCTACATCAGTGGAACTGAGGTTGAGAGAGTGAAGATCATCAAGTTCCTTGGAATGACGATAACCGATGACCTGTCCTCGACTTCCCACATCAATGCGACAGTCAAGAAGGCACAACAATACTTCTTCTTCCTCACCCGACTCGGGATATTTGGCATGTCCATAAGGTCCCTCACCAACTTCTACGCATGCACCATTGAAAGCATACTGTCCAGGTGCATAATGGGCAACTGCACTGCCCAGGACTATAAGAAACTACAGGTGGTGGTGTGCACAGTCCAGGCCATCATGGAAGCTAACTTTCTATCCTATTTATTTACACAGCTCGCTGCCATGGAAAGGCAGCCAACATCATCAAAGACCCACCGCACCCTGGTAATGACCTACACCTCTTCCATCAGGCAGAAGATACAGAAGCCTGAGTACACGCAAGAGCAGGCTCAGGAACAGCTTCTTTCCAGCCATTATCAGTCTGTTGAATGGACTCTAGCCTCATATAATGGAACCTGTATGCCTCTAAGTCTTTTTGATCTATACATCCTTTGCTTACTGTGATCTGCCTGTACCGCTCATAAACAAAGCGGTACACACGACAATAAATCAATCAATCAAAGTTGCCTTTGTAAAGCTTAAAGAGCTAACATCTGCCCAAAATGGACCAGATAGACATTGATCGCAAAAATGTAGATCAAATTCACCTTGCCAGTGATATCCTGTTACTGTGAATTTAGCTTCTTTCCAAGAATGAGCAAAATTCTGACTAATGTTGATTATTGCATTAGAGACAAATGAGAGATGTTTGGTACATTGGTCCCTGGGATGCAACGTTTGCCTTGTGTCGAAGGGTTGAATAAATTGAGCGTACATGCTGTGAAGTTTAGAAAAATGAGAGACAATCTCATTGAAACATACAATGATAGGGTAGATATGAAGAGAGATCAGCAGTAATAAAAGCACAGGAACACATTTCAGGATCAGGGGCCAATCATTTAAGACTGAGATGAAGAAAAATTACTTTACTCAAAAGGTTGTGAACCTTTAGAATTCCCTAGCCTGGAGGGTTGTAGATGAATTCATTTAAGGCTATCATAGACGTCTGCAGGAATCAAGGGATATGAGAGTGGATGTGAAACACACAATCAGTTGTGATCATGTTGAATGGCAGAGTAGGCTCATCAGGCTGTATGGGCTACTCCTGCTCTCATCTCATACGTTCCTGTGCTCTCATTATGACATACAAGACTTTGAAGGGGCTTGACAGGGTAAATACTGAGCGATTAATTCTCCTAGTTAGGGAATCTGCATCATGGTGGACACATTTTCCGGATAAGGGAATGATCATTTTAGGTCTGAAGTAAGGAAATTTTTTTTATTAAAATGGTTCTGTGGATTTTTTGAATTTCACTGCACTGGTGGGTTGTGGGTGCTCCATCAATGAATAGATTTAAGGATGAGATGCATGGGTTTTTGGTGTGTCCGGAATGAATGGATATTGGAAAGTAACAGGAAAGCTGAAGGCTAGCTTTTATCATACTTAATGGCCAAGAGACTTGATGGGCCATATGGTCTACCCCGCTTCTATTTCTTCTGTTTTAATGTTCCATCTTCCATTTGAATTTTGAATATCTGTTCCTCAAAGATTTAATAGGCTCTTTGATATACTTTTTTAAGAACTGCAGTGAGGTTACCTGCTCACAACATTTGTAAATGCCAGTAGGAACTGATTTTAATTCAGAGGAATGTAAGCAAAGATAATATCAGGTTCCACTGGTAGATTTCTTTTTCCCACCTTCTGCAGAATCCCAGTCTCTCCAGTGTTTCTAATGTCTCTGCTGGAATGAATCATTTAGATTGGGTATGTTCAACAACCAAATCTGTTGTGGACTGCACAATTTGAACATTCTGCCACTGAACCAAAAATGTTGTCATTAGTGAATCTGTTTGTTTACTTTAGTTAAGAATTTTGATTTCATTTTGCAGTATTTATTTTTTATATACTGCTAGTAAACAACTAGCTAATCAAAGAGGGATTTATTGTAATGGAATCAGAGGTAGTAGGAACTGCAGATGCTGGAGAATCCGAGACAACAAGGTGCAGGGCTGGATGAACACAGCAGGCCAAGCAGCATCATAGGAGCAGTTTTGTTTTATATAAGCAGAATATTTTAGTCTTGTTGCATTATTCCCAAGTTAGGTGGAGTGACCACTTGAAACTGTTAAATTGTGCAGGACGGATATGTTTGATTACATTTGAGTATAGGAGTTAGAACGTCATGTTGCGGCTGTACAGGAGATTGGTGTGGCCACTTTTAGAATACTGCATACAATTCTGGTCCCCCTTCTACAGGAAAGATATTAAAATTGAGAGGATACAGAAAAAGTTTACAAGAATGATGCTGGGACTGGAGGGTTTGAGTTACAGTGAGAGACTGAATGGGCTGGGGCTATTTTCCTTGGAGCTTTGGAGGCTAAGGGGTGACCTTATAGAGGTTTATAAAATCATGAGGGATGTGGAATAGGGTGAATAGCCAGTCTTTCTCCTTGCATGGGGGAGTCCAAAAGTAGGGGGCAAAGGTTTAATGTAAGAGGGAGAAGATTTAAAAAGCACCTGAGGTTTAACTTCTTCATGCAGACGGTGGTGAGTGTATGGAGTGAGCTGCCAGAGGAAGTGGTGGAAGTTGGTACAATTACAGCATTTAAAAGGCATCTGGATGGATACATGAATCGGAACAATTTGGAAGGATATGGACCAAATGTTGGCAAATGCAACCAGGTCAAATTGGGATGTCAGGTCAGCATGGATGAGTTGGACTGAAAGGTCTATTTCCGTGCTGTATGACTTTATCTGCCGTTATGAGCTGGCTTTAAACTTGACAATTCTAGAAAGTCTGCAGGAGGATGTTGATTATTTTTTTGAAACTAGATTCCATAAGCGTGAAACAGACTAATTGTATTTCTTCTAAATTTGGAAATCCTAACATTTCGAACAGATCTCCTGCAAGTTTACAAATTCGTTATGATCAATCAAATAACAGTGTCTTGGAGAATCTGCCGCCAGTTGCGTCGAGCATAGAACAGTTATTGGAGAGGCAATGGAGTGAAGGGCAACAGTTTCTTTTGGAACAGGGCACGCCTGGAGAAGGTATGTATTTACAAGAGGTTTGCATGCTCAGCCACTTTTCAATGCATCCATCATTTCATACATAAGAGTGCCTATTTCATAATTTTGTGTGATTCTTTTCCTTGCAGTCAGTGATGCTATTCATGTCTATTTTGATTTACTATTCTTTTCTTAATTATCCTGTATGGATCACTTTTTATAGGTGTATGTTAAATAATTGAATAAGTCATGTAGTTGTGGGTACCAGTCTTCAACAACATGTACCATATGTCACTTTCCTATCACGCCTCACGGATTGTTCTTTAGCCATTATTGGACAGACTAAGTAGATTGGGCCTAAACTTATTGGAATATAGAAAAATGATATTGATCTTATTAAAACATACAAGACTCTTACAAGACTTGACAGGATAGATGCCGAAAGGTTATTTTATCTTGCGGGAGAGTGTAGGGCCAGAGGTCAACATTTCAGAATAGTGCTTGTATGTTTACAACAGAACTTTCTTCTCTGAGTGTTTCGTGAATCTGTGGAATTCTTGAATGCAGAGTACTGTTGAGGCTGATTCATTAAGTTTATTCAAGATGAGAGAGATTTTTTTTTTATCCAAAAAAAATCAAAAGAACTGCAGGTGCTGGAAATCAGAAACAAAATTGAAATTGCTGGAAAACTCAGCGGGTCTGGCAGCATCTCTGGAGAGAAATCTGAGTTAATATTTCAGGTCCAGTGACCCTTCTTCAGAATGGAAGAAGTATATTTAATCCATTAGGGAATCGCAGTTATGGCTAAAAGGCAGGAAAGTGGAGTTGAGGATTATCAGATCAATCATGATCTCACTGAATGGCAAAGCAGACTCAATGCTTCTGTGTCTTATGGTTATGATGTATTGTACTGCAGGGTTCATTAAAACACAGGATTCCCTGATGCCTCCAATAATTATTGGTGATTTCCAATGACTTTTTTTTTATTTACTCTTGAGTTATGAGCATTATGGTCTATCCCTAATTGCCCTCAAGAAGTGTTGTGAGCTACCACCTTGGCTACCGTAATCATTATGCTGTAGGCATACCCATGGGGCTGTTGGAGAGGATGTTGCGCTTCTTGACACAGCAACAGTGAAGGAATGGTGATGTAGTTCCAATTCTGGCATTTCCATGCATCTGCTGCCCTTGACCCTCCAGGTCACATGCTGGGAAAATGCTGCTGGTAGAGCCTTGTTCGGTTGCTGCTTGTGTCTTTTGGAATGTCTGCTGCTGCAACAGTACACCAGTGACGGATGAGGTGGCAGTCAATGGGTCTGATTTTTCTTGGTTGATTTCTTGAGCGTTGGAATTGTTGTCGTTGTCTAGGGAGTGGAGAGCATTCCGTTAGAATACTGAGTCATGCTTTGTAGACTGTGGACAGGCTTTGGGGAGTCGAGTGGTGAGCCAAATTGAATTCCAGCCTTTGACCTGGTCATGTATTCACAGTGTTTGAATGGCTCGCCCAATTCTGTTTATGTTCAACTCTAACACCCCAAGGTGCTGATTGGAAATTTGTTGACATTATATTTGCATACATTGTTCTGGGAATGGGTAGATAAAGAGAATTGAAGTGTTCACTTTGCTATGATCGTACTAAACGGCAGTGCAGCAACTGGCTGATTGGTGTTCTCCCATTCCTGCATTCCTGTGTTCCAAATGTCTTTGATTATTATCATGAAAACACTTCATATTTAATATTTCTTTGAGGACTTGGGTTTTAAAGGTTTGTGGAAAAATCAATTTGTTTAAATTTTTGTGGAAATAACTGGAGTAGTTTCTTTAAAAGCATTTGTTGAAAGGATACTGTGAACGTTGTATGTTTTTTTCACAAGGCTTCATAGAAATCATGTGACTGGTAATAACCAGTTTTCTGATGAAGAATCACTGCCCTCTAAGCGTTAACTCTGCTTTTCTTGCCACAGATGGTGCCAGGCCTGCTGAGTTTCACCAGCAAATTTTTTTTTTTTCAGATCTACAGTTCTTTGTTTTAGATTGCACTGGTAATAACCACTTGCTTTGCTGTAGATCCCTGCTGGGACTGTATGAACCATGACTGGATGGAGAATACTTTGGTATTTAGAGTTAATTGAGGAACAAGAAGCCTGTGAGGAAGGGCTGCTCAACTGCTCTCTCCTGTTTCTGAAAAAAGAATCCTTTGTTGAGTTTATGCCGTAACCAATTTGTTCTTCCAAACAGAATGAAAGTACTGTTCAATATTGCATTTTGTAGAGAAAAATATAGGACATAAGGAGAAGTGGGAACAGTGTGCTGAGTTGGATGATCAGCTATGATCAAACTGTATGGCAGAGCATGCTCAAAGGACTGAATGGCCTACTGCTGCTCTTGTTTGCTATGTTTCTGTATAGAAATGAAGGAGGGAAATTGCATGACATTAAAAGCAAATGTTGCAATTGCTTTTCTGGTGGTACTTTTCCACTGTTTTAAGCTGTCTGCTATCAGATGTCCAAGTTTGAAGACATAGGATCACAGGGATCACTGCTGCCCAATTAACCATGGCTTTAGTCTTGGGTTTGAGGTCTTTTTCGCAGCCTGCCAAATTATGAGCTAACACATTGAAAATTACAATGGATTTTGTTCTCATGTCTGCCTTTGTCAAGAAGATAAGAAAAATGGTCCACGTTTTCCAGGATCATCATAGTTAATTTGTTGAGCTTTGGGAGTTTGTTGGAATAGGAATTTCATTTTCTGAGTGTGTAGTGAAAGGTTCCTTATGCCCTGCCAAACAAATGGACTGTGATCCGGAACTCAGTTGCTGAGTGAGTGCGCACCAATTATCATATGCATGCTAGAGTTCATGACAGAGGTTGCAGTCATTTAGGTTTTGGATTGAAAGTGGCATACATTGAACAGCTTCCTGCTGTGGTGGTACCACCACACCTGTTGATAAACTGCTAGACATGACGTGTAGTATGCAGCAATATGTTCATGAGATTCTACAAATCTGGTGACGAGAAAGGTGGTCCAACAGAAGTATCCTCACCCAAGTGAACGTACCCATCATCAAGGCAGTAAATGATAAAAATTAGCTGTACTGGTTAGGACATGTTATCTGAAACCAGACTCCCCAGTTACTGCCCTATTCTGAGCTCAGTCATGACAGTACTCCAAAAAGACTGTAGAAGGGTATTATGGATGTTCTAAGAATTTGAACTGAAGAAGCCACATGTTCCCCACAAACTCATGGGAAGCCTGGCATGTAACCAACCAAAATGGATATAGTACTTAGTACTAAGTTTATTTACGGAAAGCGACATTACCAGGATCTGCCTCTTCCCTAAAAAATACAGTGTCCAAAAAGTGTTTCTTGAAGTTTAAATCAACCTGTTCAGACATGTTATGGTATACCTCTGTTGCAGGTGGAACTTGAAACCAGGCCTCCTAGCACAGATTAAGGGACATTACCACTGAAACAAGAGCCTTGGAAGTGTTGCTCTGCATTGGCTGAAGCTACTTAATGCTCTTCACTTGTGTATGCTAAATATAACTAGCATTTCAATAAAATATTAGAGTGAGTACATGCACCTCCAAAAAAATTCATCTGCCTGCCCCTTCAGATACATATGGTAATGCATATGGTAATGTGCAGATTGTACAATGGATTTACCAGCCATCTCAGATTGCATTTGAATCTGATTTGGAGCAAATCACCCTTGATCTTGAGGGACTGCAATAGAAGAGTTTTTAAGTAGTCATGCTTCTGAAAGAAAAGTTTGGGGTCATATATTCCAGTGTATTTGCTGGAAAATTTGTGAGGAACATAAACAAATTAACAGTTGGCTATTTTTCCCCTCATCAATTTTTGTATCCTTTATTAAAGGATGGGAAGAATAAGATTAAATAATAGAAGGTAAATGGCACAATTTTAAAGAGGATGCAGGAACAACAAGACTCATGATGCAGGATTACTTGAAGCTAGCAGGATAGGTTAACAAAGCAATCTATAAACCACATGTAATTTATTAATAGTGGAATAGAAACCACAATCTATGCTATAGAGACAAACTTAATTTTGTTCTGGTGCACATTTTGCAACATTTTAAGAAGGATGTGATTAGAGTGAGAATTCATCACCATCCTCCTTTACTGCCAACTGAGGCCTTTAAGTAGAAAATTAACACTTGCTTTAAAGGTCTAATCTTGTCACTGCTGATATTAATCCAGTAATGGACAGGAGATTGCCACAAAAGAATTGTGACAAGCAACCCCGGTGTGTATCCTTGAGAGATACCAGAGGGATCCTTCATTCATAGGCACTAAGTGCCAGAAGGGGAATGGCCACTGTATGCTCTTATTCCTGACCCTGTAAGACTCACTCACTATCACTCACCTATACCTGGGTCTGTCCTTGACCTCAGGTGGGCGTGGTGTTGACAGAAACCACAACCTCCTTAAAATTGCTGAGTGCAGAAGAGATGTTAGTTTCCGATTGACTGATAGCTGTTGGTGGAAAAGACTTCTGCCCTAAGTCCTTTTTAAGAAGGCCTGCTGTGACATGTTAAATACCAAAAATCACACAACACCCGGTTGTAGTCTAACAGGTTTATTTGAAAACACTAGCTTTTGGAGCATTTCTCCTTTATCGGGTGTAGTGAGAGAGGCATCAAGACACAGAATTTATAAGCAAAAGATCATACAACTGATGCAAATGTATTGAATAAACCTAAAATAGCTGGCTGACTCCCTCCTGTTAAATCTTTTATCAGTTAGAAAGGAGATGCAGGTTTTTTTTTATCTTTATTCATTCACAGGAATGAGGGTGTCGATGACCAGGCAACATTTATTCCCATCCCTAATTGCCCAGAGGGCAGTTTAGAGTCAACCGCATTGCTGTGGGTCTGGAGTCACATGTAGACCAGACCAGGTAAGGATGGCAGTTTCCTTCCCTAAAGGACATTAGTGAACCAGCTGGGTTTTTCCAACAATCAACAATGGGTGCATGGTCATCATGAGATTTTTAATTCCAGATATTTTATTGAATTCAAATTCCACCATCTGCCGTGGTGGGATTCGAACCTGGGTCCCCAGAACATTATCTGGGTCTCTGGATTAACAGTCCAGCAATTAATACCATTAGGCCATTGCCTCCCCTTTTGATTGATTAAAATGGAAATCCCAGAATTTTGTTCAAGCCACTGCCCTGAGATAACTAAAGGTTTTATCAATGTATGCAAGAGGTGACATCTCAGGTCAGACAATGCATTTTAGATATGAAGAGATAATATAGTGTGAAGCTGGAGGAACACGGTAAGCCAGGCAGCATCAGAGGAGCAGGAAAGTTGACATTTCCGGTTGGGGCCCTTCTTCAGAAATGGGGGAGGGGGAAGGGAGCTAGGAAATGAATAGAGAGAGGGGGGGGGGGGCTGGGGAAGGTAGGTGGGATGGGGATAGGTGAGTGAAAGTAGGGAGTGGTGGGAGGAGTGGATAGGTGGGGGAGAAGATGGATAGGTTGTGTCAGGTCAAGGAGGTGGGGATGAGAGGGAGGGTTGGTCATGGGATGAGGCCGGGGGGGTGGTGAGATTTTGAAACTGGTAAAATCCCCATTTAGGCCATTGGGCTATAGGCTCCCAAGGCAGAATATGAGGTGCTGCTCCTCCAGTTTCCGGGTGGCATCATTGTGACACTGGAGGAGGCCTGCTGTGTTCCTCTAGCTTCACACTGCGTTATCTCTGACTCCAGTATTGGCAGTTGTTATTATCTCTATTTTAGATATGAAGCCTTGTTTAGAATGTGTCTGTGTTTTAAACTGGAGTCAGACTCGTTTTATTTCGAAAGCAGGAAGTTATAAAATGCCGCATTGACAGACTGTGAAAGGATCTGCAAATACAAGTCTGCGAATGCAGATTCACCCCACAGATTTGTGTGTGAGAGAGAGTGCTAGTGTGTGTGTGTGTGTGTGTGAGAGAGAGAGAGAGAGAGAGACAGGAGCTGTGTGTGTGTATGTGTGTGTGTGAGAGAGAGACATGGAGTGTGTGTGTGTGGGTGTGTGTGTGAGAGACACGGAGTGTGTGTGTGTGGGTGTGAGAGACACGGAGTGTGTGCGCGTGTGTGTGAGAGACACGGTGTGTGTGTGCGCGTGTGTGTGAGAGACACGGAGTGTGTGTGCGCGTGTGTGTGAGAGACACGGAGTGTGTGTGTGCGCGTGTGTGTGTGTGACACGGAGTGTGTGTGTGCGCGTGTGTGTGTGAGACACGGAGTGTGTGTGTGCGCGTGTGTGTGTGTGACACGGAGTG